GGCAGGACCACGTGCTCCCACATGGAGGCACGCTGCTCGGATGGTCAGAGGTGATGGACCTTGTCTTCTAGTCACCTTGTCACCTCGCTAGGGGGATTATTCCCTTTGTCGCGTACTGGTTTGGACAGATTCCTCCAGCATCTCCCTGATCTTCCAGCGGTGTGGGGCGCTATAATCCAAACAGCTCTAGATCCCCTTTTGCCGATGCTTTCCAATCCTTAGAACTACACCGGGTAATCTCCGAGGGATGAATTTATCGAAATTAGGGACTGATCTGAGTGACAAGGTACTTTGACCGGTACACCCGCTCTGCTGGAGTATACCGGTCATATTGTGATAGACCAAGCATCAAACTAACGACGATTAAAGTTCTTTTCCGGAATCATCCGGGTTGACCGGTCAACTTATTTGGTCTCCTTCTTTGACCGGTCATGGGTGGAATACACCCATCAATAAGCCCTCCACTTCTCGGTCATGCAATTTGTCATGAGCGGGAAGTAATAAATCCGAAACAGGACTTTAAATTTTAAATTCTGGTTTTTCCCACTTCGAATTTTCAAAATTTGAATTTTGAATTTTTGAATCTCGCCACTTGTCGCGTACTGACCGCTGCAGACCCGCCGCTTCGCCTGCCATAGCGCCATCATTGCGCCGCCCGTTGTGGCGCAATCTCAACGTGTCACGTCGCTTCTTTTTATCTCCCCTCCTCCTATATAAAGAGCTCCACCCCTCTTCATTTCTCACTCTTCGCAATTCCACTCTTCAGCGCTTTCACAGGTCAAGTTCCTCTCTCGCCTTTCAGCCCTCCGAGTCAAGTAAGCCTTTCTTCCATCTCTTTTTTCTTTCCTGGTTATGTCTCCCCTAGGTAGCGATAGGGTTTCGTCCTCAGAGGACAGCTCCTCTGAGGATTCCAACTCCTCATCTTTGACCGGGTCTGCTTCCCCTGGTTCCAGTACCGGTCAGGTTCCAAATTCTTCTATACCCAACCCGCAACCAGTTAACCAGATGCCCGGTAATGTTCTTTCGGGGAGGGATGAGCCAGTTGAAGAGGAACCGGGGCCATATGACCTTGAAAACGAAACCCGAGATGAGTGGGAGGAGCGGCTTCGCGAAGCCGGTTACTTTCCGCTCCCCACCTTCTACGTTCTCGAAATTCCTTCCCATGTGTCCAAAATTGCTTTGAACAAAATTCGTAGAAGGCTCCCGGAGGGGTATACCCTTTTGTATGAACACAATTGGCCCAACATTGTTGAACCCCACCGGGAGGATAGGATAGGGTTCCATACGATTTCCCTTGACGCGGGCATCGTTTTTCCCCTTCGCCCCCTCCTCACCGAAGTATGTCATGCATTTAGGATTCTACCCGGCCAGATAACTCCTAACGCCCACCGGTATCTTCATTCTTTCGTAAACATCTGTTCCCACCTCAAAATTGAGTCTTCTTTGCGCCTTTTTCTTTTTTGTTTTAAGGTCCTACCGGGCGGAACCGGTTGCGAAGGTTTTGTATACTTCAAAGGCCGCACCGGTAGAAAGTTTATTTCCGAAGTCCCACAGAGTAACCGGGGGTGGAAGGAAAAGTTTGTTTTCATCGAGTTTCCCCCTTTCGTCACTCCCCTGGCCGGTCTTAAGTGGAACGACCATCTTCTTAATCAAGAGTACGCCGCACCGGCCTCCGCTCCTGACTTGGAAGCGAGTCTCGAGGTCCTCATGCGCGGGGATCCTTTCACCGGGAGGGTTTTTCATTACGGCAGCTGGGTTTGGAGGGTCGAGTCGGGTGGTGAGGGTACCTCCCAGGCCCATGAAGCAGCGGGGCGCGGGGTACCCTCCCCGGGCAACACTGCAGAGGCCGAGGGCCAGAACCACCCAGGTACTTTTATTCCTATTTCGTTTTGTGCTTTGACCGGTCACGTCTCTCGTACTTAAGATTTTAGCTATCTTGCAGATATGGAGTTCGAGGAGTATGCCATGCCCGAAGATAAGCCAGAAGGAGAGACCGGTGGTTCTCAGACCGGTACTACCAAGACTTTCACGGTCCAACCCGAGACCGTGGAAGTTCATGATTTGGACGACGAGCCCCATCCCGACCGGTCAAAGGGGGCGGGCAAGGAAAAGACCAGTCGTCGTCAGAAGAAGGTGGCCATTGAAGAGGCCTTTGTCAACCTGGGAAGAGGCCTTTGTCAACCTGGGCCTGAAGAGGCCTTTGTCAACCTGGGCCTCCCAGACCATTGAAGAGGCCTTTGTCAACCTGGGCCTGAGGCTGAAAGAGGTAAGGCCTTTCCCTACCCCGGTTGAATCTGGGTTACTTTTTGTAATAGTTTAACCGGTTTCTTTGCTTGTGCAGAAAGGGGAAATTGGGCCCCATACAGTTGAGCAGCTGGGGATGGGCTCCCTCAGAGGTGGCCCGGTTAGAGAAGGAGAAGGAAGAAATGGCTCTCCTCTTGAAGAGCCAAGCAGACGAGCTTGTCCGGCTTTCCGATTTGGCTGGGACATTGAAGGTGGAGACCTTCCAGCTTAAGGAAGAGAACAGCCGGCTGATGGACGAGGTCTCAGAGACGAGGAAGGAGATGGCGCTGAAGGAAGAGAACTTTCCCGGTCGCGCTGCTGCATGGGTGGGAGAGAACAAGGCCGAAGCAGCCCGGGTGATGACTGCCAGCCCGGAAGACACCGTGGAATCCTTCAAACTCCTTTACCGGGAACCTGAAGGGAGGAAGATGATCACCAAGATTGGCTCTTTTGGATTCAAATGCAGCCAGAAGAAAGATCGGACTGCCTCCCACCGGGTCTTGTTGAAGAGGGATCCGGAGTTCACCGCTGCTTCCTATGGCCTGGCGCCTATTCCAGAAGAAGAACCTACTCCCCCTTTCCCTCTAGATTAGAATCTCCCCGGACGTTGCCGATTGTTTTGTAAAACTTGAATCTACCTTCATTTCCCCGGGGATGCCCGGCGTATCTGTAAACGCTTAACTTTCTCGTTTTGGTTGAATATGATGCTTGATTTTCGTACCGGTTAATCTCCCATATCTGCTTGCTTCATGATTGCTACTTTTTGTTGCTTCTTAGATATTCTGACCGGTAGATATATCAGGCCACTTCTCAATTGTTTTCGACCGGTAGAACTTCTAAGTTCTAGATCACTTTAAGTGAAGCGCAGTTTGACCGGTAGGTCCCTTCTCCACGGTCTGACCGGTGAACTGCTTCGCCTTGTGGAACTTTCAAAGTTCCGCTGTATCAATACCCAACCGGGGTAATTCTTTTTTTTTTTTTGTGACCGATAGGTTCTGGATGGAGCACCTGTAACCTAGTAATTTCTAGAAGTATCCTTAACCGGTAAGAATACTGGAGAATTAACCATGTTCGAATGGTTTCGAACCTTCTCCAAGGTTCAAATGCACCCTTCTTCCAGGGCCCCCTCTTCCGGGTGATTAAGTCTTTTAATGGCCCTTTGATTTCTACCATCCCGGGAAGGCCTTAGCTCACCCCCCCGTTCAAGTCTTCCCTGAGAAGGGGGAGATAGGATGCGCCGCGGTGGACGATCCCCTTCTATTTCTTTTAATGGGCACCTTTTAGTCCCCAATCAATTTGATGGCGCCGGCTGATTCCCCGACACCGGTCAAATCTCATGGGCCCGTGTAAGTACGGTTCGAACCCTCTTCCAGGTCCAGCCCTGTTGCAGGCATACCCTCTTCCGGGCCCCTCTTCCGGGTTTTAAATTTTTTCTATTATACTGAGCAAGACCGGTGTAGTAACCAGCGTGCCAGGTCCGGGCCTGTGTCTCAGTTGGCTTATCCGAGTGGATTCGATCCACCCGGGAAGCCCTCCTAGGATAGGTTCGACCTATCAATTCTGCTGCTACCATGTAGAGTATTGAATGTCATCGGTTTGATTGATAATAAAGTAGGCCTTGCCTAGTATTACAATCATTTGTAGAACTTGCGAAGATGATGGGAATTCCAGGTTCTTTCTACCGGTATACCATCAAGAGTTTCTAACCGGTAGGTCCCCGGGCGAATGATAACTCTCACCCGGTAGGGTCCTTCCCAGTTTTTGGCCAGCTTTCCCCCGTCTCCCGGTCTACTAGCCTCCCTTCTTCGCAGGACTTCATCGCCGACTTGAAAGTATCGCGGTCCAACCTTGTTGTCATGGTATTTCTTCACGACTTGTTGATATGTGCTCATTTTAACTTCCGCGGCCATTCTCCGTTCTTCGACCAAGTTGAGTTCGGCCAAGTGATCTTCCTCGTTCTGCTGGGGTTGATAATTTGATTCCCGAAACGTTGGGAATTCGGCTTCGATGGGCAGCCTTGCCTCACACTCATAGGTTAGGGAGAATGGAGTTTCCCCATGAGCCCTCCTGGGTGTTACTCGGAACGCCCAGATGATATGTGGGAGCTCTTCCAGCCACTTGTTTCCCGCTTCTCCCAACCGTTTCTTTAGGCCATCCACAATCGTTCGGTTGGCGTTTTCAACCTGGCCATTTCCTTGGGGGTACGCCACCGAGGAGCGATTGTGCTTGATTCCGAAGCCCTCCAAGTATTCAGTGAATCTTGGATTTCGAAATTGTGGGCCGTTGTCGGTAATTAGGTTCATGGGAGCCCCAAACCTGGTGATGATGTTCTTCCAAATGAACTTCTTGCATTGCTGCGTGGTGATATTGGCCAACGCCTCGGCTTCGATCCATTTGGTGAAGTAATCGATGGCCACGATTACAAATTTCTTCCTTCCTTGGGCGATTGGGAATGCCCCAATGATATCCACCCCGAATCTAGCGAAAGGGATGACGTTTGATACGGGGTGATAGTAGGTCGCCGGCCTACCGGGGTACTTGTAGAACACTTGGCACGTTCTGCACTTCTGGATGTACCTCTCGCAATCCTGGACAATCGTTGGCCAGTAATACCCCAACAAGATGATGCGTTGGGAAAGAGTGCGGGACATCTGATGTGCCGCGCATACACCTTCATGGACCTCTGCTATGACCCGTTCAGCTTCTCGGTTGGTTAGGCACCTCAGGAGGGGTCCCCCGAACGCCCTCTTGTACAGCTTTCCGTCAAGGACTTGGAACCGGGGCGCCCTGAGCCTCACTTTTCTTGCTCGGTCATCTTGTTCCGGCAAGGTCCCGTCCATCAGATATTCCATCAGATCATACATCCAGTGGTCATCCGCCCCGACCAAGTTCGACCGGTCTGGTTGGTTTGCTCCTGCTATGGCGGCTACTTCCAATTTTTCAATGCTGGCATGATCAAGAATTTCCACCCGGGCAAGTTTTGAAACATGCTCGGGAGCATACTGCGTCAATTTGGAGAGAAGGTCCGCATCTGCATTTTCCGCCCGGGGGATTTGGGCGATCTTGAATTCCTCAAAACCTTTCAACAAGGCAAGCACCAGGTCCTTGTATTGCGCCATTCGCCCTTCTCTGGCTTCCATGTTACCGGTCACTTGTCCAACGATCAAACTGGAATCAGATTTGATACTGACCTAGTCGATCTTCAGGGCTTGGGCAAGTCTGAGCCCTCCAGCCAGAGCTTCGTATTCTGCCTCGTTGTTTGTCAGCTTGAAGTTGAAGATGATTGCATGGTAAATTTTGAATCCTTCCGGGGTGGTAAAGACTATACCACCCCCGTAACCTTTAGGACCAGACGCCCCATCGACTGCCATCTCCCACCATTGTTCAGTGGGCTTGTTGACCGGTAAGTCTAGAGTTATACCGGTCATTTCTACCAAAAAATCTGCCAGGGCCTGCCCCTTGATTGATGATCTTGGCCGATACTCAATGTTGAATTGAGTTAACATCATAGCCCATTTCACCATCCTCCCGGATGATGTTGAATTTCGCAACACTGCACCCAGCGGTTGGTCAGTCAAGACTTCTACCGGGTGAGCTTGGAAGTAAGATGTTAACTTTTTTGCAGAGATGAAAAGCGCGTAGGTTGTTTTCTCTATTGCTGTGTATCTACTTTCGGCTCCGTTTAGTGCTTTGCTCACATAATAAATAGGCTTTTGTGCCCCATCATCTCTTATTAAAACAGAGCTTACAGCATTTGGGGAAATTCCCAGGTACAGATACAGAGTTTCACCTGGCTGGGGTTTAGACAATACAATATCTGACACTAGGTACTCTTTCAGCTCGTCGAATGCCCTCTGGCACTCTTCGTCCCATGCAAAAGTGTTGGCCTTCTTCAGGACTTTGAAGAAAGGCAGGGACCTCTCAGCTGACCGGGAAAGGAACCGGCTGAGTGCCGCTAGACGACCGGTCAACTTTTGGACATCCCTCACAGATGTGGGGGCCTGCATTTCAGTGATAGCCCAGATTTTTTCTGGGTTGGGCTCTATTCCTCTCTTGGTCACCATGAACCCCAAGAACTTCCCGGTACGAACTGCGAAGACGCACTTCTTGGGATTCAACCGGAGGTTGTATCTTGCCATGATATCGAATGTGGCGCGCATATCAGCCGGGTGATTGAGAGATACTTGGCTTTTGATTAGCATGTCGTCGACGTATGCCTCCATGGTCTTTCCCAGCAGTGGCTTGAAGAGCTTGTTCACCATGCGCTGGTAGGTTGCCCCCGAATTCTTCAAGCCAAACGCCATTACCCGGTAACAGTAGGTTCCTTCGGGTGTGAGGAATGACGTCTTCTCTTCATCCTCCTTGGCCATGTATATCTGGTGGTAGCCCTTGAATGCATCCATGAAACTCAGGAGTTCGCACCCCGCAGTTTCGTCCACCATTTGATCTGGACTGGGGAGGGGGTATGAATCCATCGGACACGCCTTGTTCAAGTCCGTGTAGTCCACACACATTCTCCATGTGTCCCCCTTGGGAGCAAGAACCACGTTGGCCAACCAATCCGGGTACTTGACTTCCCGAATGTGACCAACACTGAGGAGATCCTTCACCTCCTTCTTGACGAAGTCCCGCCGGTCACTGGCCAGGTACCTTTTCTTCTGGCGTACCGGTCGACTTCC